AGCAAGCGTTTCAGGTCTTCCTCAGTTTCAGCAAGCAGGGTTGTGTCATCTGCATAACACAGATTGTTAATAGATCTTCCACCAATCCTGACACCACACTTCTCCTCATAGAGCCCAGCCTCTCGGATAATCTGTTCTGAATACAGGTTGAAAAGGTATGGAGATAGCACACATCCCTGGCGTACACCTTTCCCTGTTTTGAACCATGCAGTGTTTCCTTGCTCTGTTCTGACAACCACCTCTTGCTCCCAGTATAGGTTTCTCATTAGCAGGATCAAGTGTTCTTGGATTCTCGTTCTTCTCAGAGTCAGCCACAGTTTGTTAGGATCCGTACAGTCAAACACCTTTGCATAATCAATGAAACACAGATAGACATTCTTCTGAAAGTCCCATTAATCAATTTTATCCTGTTCAGATTTTGCATTTCTGACTGTATTTGTCAATGTCTTCATGTCATAGATTGGGCTTTCTAAGCTTGGTCTCAGTTTATGTCTTATGAACTTTATGGTTTGGGGCTTTACTCCCAGGTTTCTGATCTACCTTGAGTTGATTTTTATGTGTGGTGTAAGATGTGGATCCTACTTCAGCTCTCTGCAAGGAGCAGTCTAGTTTTGCTGGCATCATTTGTTGAGGAGGATGTCATTTCCCCATTTGATAGATTTCTTTCCTTGACAAATATCAGTTGACCATAGATAGAGATGTCCACTTCTGGGTTCTCAATTCTGTTCCATTGGTCTTGGCGCCTATCATTGTACCACTATCATGATGTTTTGATTACTACAGTGTAGTAAGTTTTGAGGTCAAGAAGTGTTATGCCTTGCACTTCATTTTGTTTTTCAGAAGCTAAATAACACCCTGCTAAAGCACACTTGGATTATAGAAGAAATAAAGAATGGCATTTAAAAAGTTCCTCAAAACAAATGATAATGAAAAATACAACATATCAAAACCCCTGCGATGTAGCTAAGGTAGTCCTCAATAGAAAGAAAGAAAGAAAGAAAGAAAGAAAGAAAGAAAGAAAGAAAGAAAGAAAGAAAGAAAGAAAGAAAGAAAGAGAGAGAGAGAGAGAAGGAAGGAAGGAAGGAAGGAAGGAAGGAAGGAAGGAGCAAAATTTATGATCTAACTCAACACCTTAATCAAATAGGAAAAGAAGAACAATCTAAACCCACAGCCTCTAGAAGAAAGAACATTACAAGAACAAGAGCTGAAATCAATGAGATAGAAACTAGAAAAACAGTTGAAACCATCAACAAAACCAGGAGCTGGTTTTTCAAAAGCGTCAATAAAACAGACAAAACATTAGCAAAATTAACAAAAGAAAAAAAGGAGAAGACACAGATAACTTGATTAAGGAATGGTAGCAGTGAAATCAGAACAGAACCAGAGGAAATTAAATCTGTAATGTCAAAATATAAAAGCTGATAAATTTGATCACCTAGAAGAAATGGAAAAAGTCCTTGAAACTCATGCCCTGCTCAGACTGGCACAAACAAAGGAGGACACTTAAACAGACCCATCACAAAAGAAGACAATGGAGAGTGGGTCATAAAAAGAATCCTCCACAGAAAAGAGGACCAGATGGCTTCGCAGCTGAATTCTACCATACTTTCAGAGAAGATTAATCACTAATTCTTCTTACATTATTTTTTAAAAAAATATAAAAAGAAGGAATAATTCCAGAGTCATTCTGTGAAGCAAGCGTAACCCTAATAACCAAAACCAGACAAAGATATTATCGAAAAAAGAAAACTAAAGGCAATATCTCTCATGAACATAGATGTAAAAATCCTTAACAAAATCCTAGCCAATAGAATCCAAAAACACATTAAAAAAAATTCCTCATGACCACATAAGATTCATAGAAAATATGCAAGCATGGTTCAACCTAAGAACAGTCAGTGTAATTCACCATATTAACAAAGCAAATAACAAGAACCATATGATCCTAGCAATTGATGAAGAAAAGGCATTTGACAAAATCCAGCATCCGTTACTGATTAAGACTCAGCAAAATAGGAATAGATGCCACAACAAGATAAAGGTAAACAACCCAATTGCAAAATGGGCACAGGGTATGAACAGACACTTCACCAAAGAAGACATTCCAATGGCCTACAAACACATGAAGAAATGTTCAAAATCCCTAGCTCTAAGAGAGATGCAATTCAAAACAACTATGAGATATCATCTCACCCCGGTAAGAACAGCAAAATTCAACAGAGCAGCAAACAACAAATGCTGGCCAGATTGTAGAGAAACT